CCTATGGATATTTTGTTTTGTTTTTTACAAAATTTGAACTGCCTTATACATTTTCACTTAAAAATATCACAAATCTTTTGCCCATAATATTACAAGAAGCTTAAATCACATAAACATACTCATAAAGCCCTACTGGGCTATTGTATAGTGAGTGCATTTTTATCTTGTCCTGGACATAGCAATAGTATCTTTTATTTTATTTATATTTTTATTGATTTCAGAGAGGAAGGGAGAGGGAGAGACAGAAACATCAATGATAATGACTGGCTGCCTCTTAGATGCCCCACACTGGGGATTGAGCCCACAACTCAGGCATGTGCCCCGACCAGGAATCGAACTGTCATCTCCTGGTTCATAGGTCTACACGCAACCACTGAACCATGCTGGCCTGGCGCAGATAGCAATAGTATCTTTTAGTTGGAAGGGCAGAGATGATGTTTCCTTTCACAGAATTATTTCACTTTGTGTTGTTTCTATGAACAAATAAAATGTCCCCTCCTTGTCACGAGATGAAAAGACTGGTGGAGGTGGATGAAGACTGATTTCCCACCAGGTTGCAAATCATTGGTATGTGCTGTTATCATACTCTCTCCTCTCAGAATTGCAAGGTCCTTCTACTGTTCCCTGGAAATGTTCTCGCTGTTGACAGTTCTGGGCCTACATCAGAGGGAAAATGCCCTACTTAGCAACATTCAAACAGCACACTGCCGGCAGCCAACATTCAACTTGGAATAGTGTGTGACGGCTGACCTAACACATGACCTAGAGACACATCTTGTTTTCAAGTGCAAGATAACTAATTGTCTTCATTACTTTAGTTTGTGCTGATTCCATAATACTGCTTTGGGCAAGAACTCCAGAAACTTGAAGAAAACAAAGATAAATTAAGAAACACACTGTGATGGGAACACATGTGGTGATGGCTAGACTGGAACACAGCCAGAGCCGCTGTAATTATCAGCCAAGATTCCTGAGAATCTATTGTGTCCAACATTGAGATGTAAAGATGCTCCTCTGCCTTTGAGAAATCACACCTGCGGAGGAGAGGAGATAAGCACAGGAACAGACAGGTGATCCTCAGGTCCCCTTGAGGAACAGTTTAGGAGGGATTAGGATTGCATGGTCAGTAGGGAAAGACCATGCACAGAGTCAAAGAAAAAGGATAACCTGGCCCCCCAAAACCCAAACCTTTTATTTTATATCACAAAGGGCTAATTTTATTATATTTAAGAGCTCCAAATTAGCAGAATCTATAATAATAAAAGCATAATATGCTAATTAGACTGGATGTCCTTCCGGACGACCTTCCGGATAAAGCCGGGGCTGCAAGGGAAGGCCGGGTCCCGGGTGCCTGCCAGCGGCTGGAGGGAAGCCCAGGTCCTGGTGGCCAGAGGGAAGCCGGTGCTGGCACCCAGGGGAAGGAAAGCCTACTCTTGCACAAATTTCATGCATCGGCCCTCTAGGAGTAATATAAAAGAAAAATGGGCAAAGCACACGAACACAGTTCTCAAATAGTTTTTAAACATAAGATGATCAACTGGACAAATAACAAGAGAATTTTAAACCATGAAATAATTTTCTTCCCAGAGATCAAGAAGTTGAATAAGAGTACTGGTGAAGATTGGGGGTGAGATAAGCACTCATCCATTGCAAGCATAGGCTGCTACAACATGTACAAAGCTATTACAATAAAAGCTATCACAATACTCCACAATCAGCACCTCCCTTTCTAGAAATGTAAAGATACGGCCCTAACCGGTTTGGCTCAATGGATAGAGCGTCAGCCTGTGGACTGAACGGTCCCAGGTTCAATTCCGGTCAAAGGCATGTACCTTGGTTGCGGGCACATCCCCAGTAGGAGGTGTGTAGGAGGCAGCTGATCGATGTTTCTCTCTCATTGATGTTTTAACTCTCTATCCCTCTCTCTTCCTCTCTGTAAAAAAAATCAATAGAAATATATTAAAATACACACACACACACACACACACACACACACACACACACACACACATACACACATATCGTTATGTATACAGGAACACAACTCTTGTAATTTTACTCATTATATCTAAAAAGATGGGATCAATTTAAATGGGCATCAATTGGAGACTGTTTAAATATATTACAGAGTATCACTGTGATGTAAATATTAGTTTTGAAAACAAGTAAGTTAAATAGATGTATAGATGACAGAAAACAGATAACATAGATACAGAATAATCTAAGAGGATTTGTTAAGTTAGAAAAACCATGTAGCCCAGCTGGTGTAGCTCATTGGCTGAGCACTGACCCATGAATCAGGAGGTCACTGGTTCAATTCCCAGCCAGGGCCCATGCCCAGATTGTGGGCTCGATCCCCAGTAGAGGGTGTGCAGGAGGCAGCCAATCCTCATCGATGTTTCTCCCTTTCCTTCCTCTCTAAAATCAATAAAAACCTATTTAAAAAAACAAAACAAAACAAAACCCAGTATGTATACACCAGTGTAAGTATGGTAGTGGAGGGCCAGTTGTAAAAGTCTAAAACCTAAGAGAGAAACAGTCACTGACTTCACTCCAGACCTACTCAGAATCTGAGGGTTTTAGAAATTTCTTTTACTTCTCCAGGTTTTTATAACTAGGAGATGGTGTTGTTTAAGTTGACTCCTACGGAGGCAGGTCACCCCATCCTGTATTTATGCAAATTAACTTTTCATGTCATGTGCAGACTTTCTCACCACACACGCCCACTCACTTTTTCTTTTGGGGAACAAACAAGTTGTCTTGCAGAACATATGACGTGAAGTTACTGAATGCATACTTGCCCCTAGTGCCATTTCTTTCCTAAAAATTCACTCAGTACGTACTGAGCAATATGCCAGAGTTAGGAACTGAGGATATTGGGGAATAAACTAGGGGATCTAGTAAGCATGTTCAATAATTAGAACACAAAAGGTTTTGTGCCATAAAAGACAGGTACTGGCCATACTGAGGGCCCAGACACCCCTCTAAATTAGCATGTGAGTGAGGGGCCGGGGTGCGGATCAGGAAAAATGACTCAAAGGACAAGTGTTTGGATTTGCACGGTATGAAGCCCCAGGCCCCCAGCAGGTGTGCAAAGGTGCACCTAAAGGTGTGGAGAAAATAAACCGGAGAGAAATGGAATAGACCACGAGGTCCCTTTTAGATGAGATTAGGATGGCCTGGATTTTAAGATGGTCGGAGTTACATTTTAAGAACCAATCCACCAGGCCCGGGGTCAATGACTCAGGACAAGGCAAGATCACACCGGCTTCTAGTACTTTGTTGGGGACTGACATCAGGTTTTACTCCTGTGACCTCCTGCACCTTCTCCCACCCTCTCCATTCTCCATCCGAGTTAGAATAGTCACAGCTCAGCAGTGAAATGAGAAGCAGACTGACCAAGGAGCTAGTTAGGATTCTTGGTTCACTAGACCGAAATTTACTTCTTGGTTCCTCATTAACTCCAGGAATTTTTCTTCTTCTGTAGTTACTTTAGGACAATTTTCCCCCCAAAGTTATTAAATTTAGAAAAGTAATTCAAATAACAAATCACATTTGATTTATACTTCAGAAATACCAGCAAGAAAAATGGAGCTGAGTTAGGACTGCCTTTCTAATCTCTCACTGTTGCCTTCATTGCATTTAGAAATTACATTTGTTTATGCCTTAGACTTTAAACCACTTTTATTTAATAACAATTGACTTATATTAAATTTTGTTTCATCAGTTATGCCATTTGGTATTTAATTAACCAGGAATAGGATCTGGCCTTTAGAGCTGCAAGATTAAAATATGGTCTAAATGAAAGGCATTAAATTATACTCAGTAGGCCCTGACCAGTTTGGCTCAGTGGATAGAGCGTCGGGCAGTGGACTGAAAGGTCCCAGGTTCGATTCTGGTCAAGGGCATATACCTTGGGTGCAGGAGGCAGCTGATGGATGTTTCTCTCTCATTGATGTTTCTAACTCTCTATCCCTCTCCCTTCCTCTCTGTAAAAAGACAACAACAACAAAAAATATTTTTTAAAATTATACTCAGTAGTGTCACTTAGTAGATATTTTATTGTAATCTTGGGTCCTTAAAACTCTGTATCATGATCAGCATCCCAGCTACAAATGCAAAGCCTTTTTCATTGAATCAATTCTAGTTCTTTAAGAGCCTCCAACATCCCCTGGGACGTAGGTATTTGTATCCCCATTCTAAAGCACTAGGAAACTGAAGCCACGTAAAGCATCTGGTAATGAGAGGTGTTCAAACACGTCCGATTCCAAGGCCTACGCTCTTCTCCTTTAAGCCTCCCAGTAGAAAACTTCACGTTAGTATAAACCAGTTGTTCTCAACCTGGGTGGGGGGTGGTAGACATTTGGAAACACACTGGGAGACACGGTTTTTGGTTGTCACATCTGGGGAGGGAGGCGTTCTGCTGGCACCCAGTAGGTAGAGACCAGGGATGATACTAAACAACCTACAATGCCTAGGACGCTCCCCCACAACAAAGAGTTACCCAGCCCCAAGTGTTAAAAGTGCAAGATTGAGAAACTAGAGGGTAAACAACATTCCTCAAAAAGTCTTACAGACCTACTACTACCCCCATCCTGTTTTGTTTTGTTTTCTGAAATCAATGTTTAGGGTCAATGAAAATAGCTTTAAACCAGAACCAGATGTGTTTAATACATACATGCATGCACATTTTCAATGCAGCTGAGAAGTGCTTTGAGTTTATACTGTAAATCACTGTGGAGTGATCACAGAACTTTGAAGGTTTCAACCTCAAATGTTATGGTATATATTGCATATAGATGTAGGGTGGGGAAACACATGTATGCTTCATGTTTCCATTGATGTGTGATTGTTCTGATCTTTATTCTGTTTAATAACGGATGCAAAGGGTGTGGGGAAAGAAGCCCCGACTCAGAAAGCAGGGAGAAACATCATATTGAAACTTTATAAGTAGACATTTTTTTTTCAAGCACAATGAAGCCACACCATGAGGCAGAAAACTACTTTCTTAATTTTATTTGAAAAGTACACAAGGTCACAAAGCTAGAGCAAGTTCTTGCTTTTTTAACCAAATTTGTTCTTACAAAGTTCAAAATCTGCACCATTGGATATTTAAGCCAGAAACTTTAAATACAAAAATCACCTTTGAAACTGACACTATCAATTCTCTACCTGCATATGTGAAGTGTCAAAATATTTTTTCTCAGTAGTACAAGTTTATTTATTACAAATGCTCACAGTAAGGGATGAGAATAAGTGAATCAGTGAATTGTGGTTCTCTTGACACTTGTGTCATTAAATGCGTTAGTAGAAAAATGCCAAGTTCTTCCTTGATTGGAGCGTTTAGTGTTCGTGACCAACGCCAATCCCAACAGGTACTTTCCCCTCAAATTACAAAACAGGGAGCTTTGTAAACCTTGATTAACAGTAAGAAGCCAGAGACAGCAAATATTGCTGGTGTTACTATCCATAAGATAACATATTTGCTGGTGTTACTATCCATAAGATAACATATTTGCTGGTGTTACTCATAAGATAACATATTTGCTGGTGTTACTATCCATAGGATAAGCAGAACTGCAATTCACAAATTTACTATTCTTCCCTGTTTCCATAACATGAATAGGTAGAATCTGTGCTCAGTTATGGACCATATTTTAGTGTCAAAATAGGCAAACAAGTAAAAAATCCAACTGCAGAATATGTTGCCTTTATTGCAAGACTATCCAAAGGCATTTGAAATATGAAAACTTGCCCAGAACATTTATACTACTAAACACAGAATATTACAAAGATGTATGTACATATATATATAACATAATGTCACAAGCCACTAAGAAGTTAAAATGGTGTCAACGTTTTCTACAAACTACTCCTACACACGTCAAAGCATTAGGCAGGTAATACGGACCTTTCTGCTCACGCTGGAATAAGGGGTCTGAAAGCCCTGAACACTGTGGCGGTGAAAAGAGATAGGAAAACCTTGAAACATTCACGTAACTTCAGATTTACATGCTGCACGCACACAGAAAGACAGAGAATGGTTATTTTAAAAAGCCACCCATTATAGAATCTGATGTCTAACTTCATGCAACGAGTTCTTTTTATATTTAATCAAAATGTTTATTTGCCCCTTTACTTGCTCCTAATTTATGGAACTCAATTTTGAAAATTATCTTTTTCATAAAAATCAGATATTAATTCATACCAATAATCTAACTGTGTTTCTTGAATTAACCTCCCCCTACGACACACTCTGGCTGTATTTCCATTGTAACAACTCCAGGGCAGATTTTTATTTTTGTTGGCCTTCTAACAGGGGAATATTAGAATATAAACTACACATTAAAGCACAGAACTACGTCCTCTAAGGTACCACTGCTTCTCAAGTTATCCTGTGTAACTCAACAAAATGGTATTGAGCCTCTTAGGTGTAAAGTGGAATTGTAAGGTGTAAAATTGCTTTTGCCTCAAAGACGCAGTGCTATCTTTGGCTGATGCTGTTAAGCTCCAATGGCAATGCTTGAATAGCAAGTTTTGTTGAATTGCTTGATGATTACCAATAATTCCAGAACAGATATCTGATCTCTGGTTTAAATGAAATTATCAGTGAGAACCCCTTAATGGGTCAAGCAGAACTACCTGACTTCTGGATTAACTGAAATTTACAATGAGAGTAGCTGAAGACGAAGCCTAAACCTGAATTCTGTCCTCTAAATGTCATCACGCCCAATAGGTCTGTACAGGATACACAACTGATTTTTTGTGAGGTTGTTTCTTAGGATAGGATACAGGTGCTTCTGGAAGAGATTCTGGCTTATTTGTAGCTAAATCCTAGACCAACTACGAAGTCTCAGGCAAGGAAAGCCTTACATGTGTCTATTTTTTTGTAGTAATTTCTACTTAGATTGATAGCATAATCTTCAGTGCATGAAAACTAATAAAGACCAAAAGTTGTTTCTTAGAGTTTGTGCTGGTATTTCTTAGTATTACTGTATGTACATTTGTATTCATATAAAACAGACCAGACATCTGGAGTTCAAAAATAGTTACTATTATAAAATCAGAAACACAGCCAGAGTGTTGGGGATGTTGGAATGTTAGCCTTTATGGATAACACAGTCTGTTAATTTGCATACAAAAAAGAACAGAAAAGAGGAGGCAAGATTGAAGTCTGAGGATAGAAAGGTGTCACAGTGATGCATTTTTAGGAACAGTACCTTCACCTCTAAGCACCTTTCAGGTGATAGCTAGCTCATAGGCACCAGAAATTCATAATAGAAATTAAATGACCCAAAAGGCACAAATGAAACTGTTAACACAAGTATAAAAGCAATATTGTGTGAGGTTAAAACCCTATTTAAAAAAGGCTTCCGAATACGTAAAACCGTACACTAATTCATTACACAGACATTCCGCTTAAATTTACCATTAAAAAGTGTACACAATACTCTTACTAACCAGAAAGTCATGCCAACATTAATTTCTAATGCCGCATGAACCACCACAGCACCCAAAGAGATGAACAGAAACAAACTCCCTACAAAACCGAGGGAACAGCTTTTAGAGCTAGTGAAATAATTTATTGCAAGACCTAACTTCCTATAAAGAAACTGCTGGCTCATTCCACTATACCCACACTCCCTTGCAATCTTAAGGGAAATACAATAAATTTACTTTCTACTAAAACAGTATTTAACACATTTGGCAGTTGGGAGTATTCCTTTTACTCCCTTTCCTTTCTTTCTTTTTCTTTTTTTTTAAGAATAAATCACTTTCACAAACTAGGACTCAAACTTTTCAAAACTCAACTGGGTTTTCTGCAACTGCACAGACAGGTTGGCAGTGGAATAGTAACTGCGTCCTCCCGAGTCTGGAAGGCAGAATTGCGAAGCACACTGACGAGCTTACACTGCGCTCCCTCATTCCGAGCCTATGAAGGAACATCCTCCAGAAACTGCTTTCAGGAAGGTAGACTTAGGATTCCATGTTTCTGGAATGTGTAACATGCAACGCCATCCAAAAACGACAACAACAGAACGCTGAACTTTTTAAAATTTGGAACCAATAACTAGGGAATTTCAATCTGTACCTGTCCAATAATAAATGTTATAATTTTTTTCTTAGTAGAAAAATATCACCTGACGCAGAGAGCCAGTATGGGGTTGGGAACTGCAGGATTCCCCATCCTTGCTCTGGCCGGTCTCTGTTCTGGAGATCACCCCAGATTGCTCATCGCTGAAATCCACCCTCACTACCATACCTAGTGTCATCGCTCTATGTAGTGACAGCGAAGTTGCTAAATAAATCCATAGGTGCTCCTTTACTTTAGCATGTAAAAGAGCTTACTATGCCTCTGTTGCCTGTTGTCAACAGTCCGTCAATCAAATGCTTAAGCAATCATTCCATAGACAAGGCTTATGCATGACCTGAAAGTAGAACTAGTAATTTCTAGAACCCTGTAGAGTGTTTTTATGTTACTAGAGCTATTCCAAACACATTTAGAGTTTTCAAAGAACAAACATAAAGGACTATAAGAATTTTTTGCCATGAATGCTTCTTTGCCAATTTTGGGTCATAAATTAATTGAGAAAGGCATCCTAAAAATAATGGCAGGAATGAAAAAGTACTACTTTTTAAGATAATTCAAGTATCAACTTGGTGTGCATGTAAGTTCACCAATATCTTCTCCTATGATTTCATATCCAAAGTGCTACATATTACTAAGTATGGGTAGTTAGAAACTGACAAAATCAACTTCTTTAAGAAATCCTTTTCAGATGGCAAATTTGTCTTTAGTAACTTTAATGCCTATACTACTCCGATAAAAACAAACACAACTTTTTGAAGTATGTTTCTTACAGTTTTTGGTTCACTTTTTGATCTACTGAGGCTGGTAGCAAAATTTAGAACAAAATAGGTTTTCCTATTTCAAAAGAAGAAGAGAAGTGTGGAGCACGGAGGTGAGAGGTTCGGAGGCCCTATACTATAGACCCGTCCTTGCTCTGGGCTGGAATCATCACCGGCACCGCTCCCATCCTACTGAGATTAGGGGCAGCTACCTTAGCGGGCGGGAGAGTCGGACTCTGAGGAGCGCGTTCAAAATCTTCACTTGGTACTTGGTTATACTGAGTCTTGGAATAGCCCTCCATGTTGGAAGGGGACATGGATCCCAGGGATGAGTGATTGCTGCCGATGTAGCTTCTGGCTGTGGACGTCCGGCTCTTGGGGGGAGGCACGTCTTCCCTGGAAAGCAAAGATCCCAAAATAAACGAAAGAATGAGCTTCTAGAAACCTACAATTGTGTAGCCTATGAATCATGGGTGAGGGCTATCTAAGCATGAAGTATATAGAAGTGTGTGACATACAAAAAAGCAAGACAATTTATATATATAAAAGCCTAAGTGACTGTTTCAACTGGTTGCTATGATGATGCACTGACCACCAGGGGGCAGACACTCAACACAGGATGCACCCTGGTGGTCAGTGCGCTCCCACAGCCAACCTCCTGTGGCCAGCCAACCTCCCGCGGTCCCTTCCGGTTGGCCGGCCTCAATTGGCCCTGGTGGCCCCAGTCACTGGCCAGGCCGAGGGACCCCACTTGTGCATGAATTCGTGCACTGGGCCTCTAGTAAAGTATAATGTCACAAACTGTATATTTGTCCCTTAGTTATCATTTACAGAATATAGAACTTCTCATATACTGAAAGGCAGTATTTACAAAAATTTATGATTTTATAATGTCTTATAAGAAACAAACCTCAAATATGTTCATATTCCAGTATAACTCATCAAGATAATCTCATTACAGTCATGTAACACTTTATCCTATATAATAAAAGGTTAATATGCAAACTGTCCCCTCGACCAGTTCGACTGCAAGTTTGACCAGGGGGTGGGGCCGGCTGGCCAACCACCCGGGCCCCTCCCCCCAGCCAGCCCCACCCTGATTGGGGGCAAGGCTGGCCGGCCAACCGCTGGTGTCCCCTCCCCCTGGCTGGCCCAGCCCAATCACCCTGATTGGAGCAAGCCAGCTGGACCCCACCTGTGCATGAATTCGTGCACGAGGCCTCTAGTAGTTACTAAAGCACTATCACCTACAGATATATTTCTACCAAAAAAGAAAAAAAATCCTTTTTGCTACTAAAGTTACTGATCTAAGACCTTAGCTGAAAGCAGCAGATTCCAGTCTGCAAAAAAACAGGAATTCAGGCAGAAGAATTTTCACACCAAGGACTGAGTTACATCTGGTGCATTTTAAAAATGCAAGTGCCCAGATCCTGCCTCATACCTACCAAATGTCAATTTCCTGGATGTTACTCAGTCACATGTTATTTCTTAAAGCTCAATAATCGAACATACACTTCTAGTTAAGATCTTCTGGTTTAGAATATTTTGTTAAAAATCACACTACCAATAGTTCTGTCACTTGATGTAATGAGGTCTTTTTTCTTTCTTTTTTTTGGAGTATGCCATACCTGTACTTGATTTGGAGAGGGCGAATGGTTTTGAGATAAGTTATTTTGTAGTGGTTCTTAAAATAGGATCCAGAACTGGAGAGGGACTGGGGGCACAGCCTAATGGAGGTTGATTGGATCTACACACTTGCCAGGGAAAGTGAGAGCTTTCAAATGTGTTGAAGGGAAGAGCTTTAGCTTTTATCCAGTTCTCACAGGTGCAAATGTTTCGGATGGTTAAGAGTAGTAATGCTTTAGACATAGTAAATTTAGTACACTACATGTCAATCAACTCTGGTGTCACTGAATTACCTGATATCATGATGAACTTCCTTTTCATATTTTTCTTCTCGGCGCTTTTTATGGCAGCAAAAGATGATCACGCAGATGAGCATGAGAGCAAGCAGAGTTCCTATAATAGCTCCTGCAATTGTTCCAGCTCTGTTGGACGCTAGAATAAGATGTTCATAAGTAAATAATGGTAAAAAACAACACCACTCTATCTAGTCATACTGGAGGTAAGGATACACACTGACAGACTGATCTCGTTGTATACATTAACTATAGTAGGTCCTCGGGTTACGGCGGAGATCCGTTCCTACTGGGCGATGTAACGCAATTTTCGCCCTAAGTCGGAACCCACCTCCATAAGCACCTACGTCACTCACATGGAGCACATACACAGCCGTAATGAAGTGAAACAGTGAAACAAATTTGAAAGATAACAATTCCTGACCTTTACTGTGGTAAATAAATAATAAAAAACATAAAGCACACATGTACATACGTCGAAATGACAGAACTTTTTTTTTTTTTAATAAATAAATGAGAGATGGCGATGTAAGCATGAAACAACATACGTCGATCCGACGTAACCCGAAGACTGTCTGTATAAGAAACTAATTAGCTTTTTGGTCCAAGGAAAAAATCCACTAAAAGAACTTTCTTTTGAACCGTATAATCTATTTTATGTATTAATTTCAAGGAATCGAACTGTGACCTCCTGATTCATAGGTCAGTGCTCAACCACTGAACCACACCAGCTGGGCTGTAATAATATATATTAAGCATAAATGTGATCAAACCAGATTAAAAGAGTTTAATGTTCCCAGCTATATGAGCTGGCATATAAGAATGTTCCAAATAGCTTATCCTTACAATGGCTAAATACGGTATAAGAGTTGACTTGACAACTCTCATGTTCTTCATGTTGCTACGATAATGAAGGTTCTTCTAATAAAATGTAGTTTTTTTCTTCCCGTGACTCAGGAAAGCCACTAACCAAGCCACAGAGTGCTCTGCTCACAGTTTGCATCCCCTTGGCCTCAGTACACCCTTGCTGACTGAATCGGGGGAGTGGGGGGTGCGGGGTGCTGTATAGAGACAGGGGAGCAAACATTATCCCCGCCGGCCCGGCGGAAGGTACTTACGAGGAACAACGTCCAGGCGCAGCTGGCACTGGTCGGAGCCCACTCTGTTGCTGACGGTGCACTTGTACGTCCCGGAGAGCTCGGTGGTGGCATTTTTTACAGTGATAACGGAGGAAGTCATTTCTACGAAAAGAGAGATGGGGCAGAGGGAAACCCATGTTTGCAGGACTGCTGAGACCGCAGTAAAGGCAAACCCTGCTAGGCTCGACAGTCCAGGCAAAAGGGAGAGAGGCTGAAGCTGGGTGCGGAACCAACGCCAGGCAGGCAAGACACGTGCAGGTCTCCAGAAGGCAAACCACTGCGCTCCGGTTCATTTGTGCAATGAGATTTGCAAAACCCATTCCACCCGCCCCGCCCCCCCGATGGAAGAAACATACAAAAGAAGTCAGAAGGGGCCGTGCAGTTAACCTCTTAACTTGTAAAAAGAAACGGAGGCTCAGAGAAATCCTACCTGGAAGGTGGAGGCCAGTTTGAATAACAGGTCAGTTATAACCATGGTCGGCAAACTGCGGCTCACGAGCCACATGCGGCTCTTTGGCCCCTTGAGTGTGGCTCTTCCTAAGCCTTAGGAGTACCCTAATTAAGTTAATAACAATGTACCTACCTATATAGTAAGTTTAAAAAATTTGGCTCTCAAAAGACATTTCAATCGTTGTTCTGTTGATATTTGGCTCTGTTGACTAATGAGTTTGCCGACCACTGAGTTATAACAAAGTGAGCAATTGGATTGAACCAGTTTATAACTTTCCAGTTAGTGCCACATGGGTGCTTTGGGTCTGTTTTGTAACAGACATACCAAGGGTAAATCGCAGTATCTTCAACACTAAGGTAGGCAGGCTCATGAAACTTTCAAGATCCAACTCCTTTTAAGTTAGTCATTAGTTTAAGATCATGAACATTTTCTGACAGTATTATCATTAAAAAACATATACCAAAGAAACCAATTATAGTATCTCAAACAGTGAAACTGTTATAAAAATTTATCTATTTATACTACATGACAGTAAATTGTCTTGGAATCTTGATTGTTTTGTATAGAAAAGGGAGGGTATCTGGGGATGTAACACACACACACACACACACACACACACACACACACTAGAGTTAAGTCCATATCTATGCACATGGTATAGACTGTCTAATCGGCGGTACCTGACATCAGTGCTGTGGGCAGCTTCTGTGAGTTGGACAATTTCTGCCATTCATATTGTAATGGAAGTGAACCTTCCTTGGGTTCACATTTTAGTTTAAAGTCATTTCCAATTTCTTCTGATCCATCCACATAACATCTTGTACCTGAAGGCTTAACTGAGAAGAGAAAATAAATTACAACTTTATACAGAAAAACAGGCTTTCTGTTTACAATGATTCTTAAACACCAAGCATGCTGCACAACCATGCTATTACCACAAGGTTCTGATTCGGAGTTGACAAGACTGAATAACTACAATCGGTTATGCAACACAAAACAGGCCGGACTGGGCTCAGGAAGCAGCCGCTGCATAGGGAGGTCTGGCAGCATCTCAGGCCCGGCTCTGTGTCCCTTATTCCACAGGGCACACCTGGAAAAAGCAAGCACGCTGTGGGCTGCACCTCCTCAGACTCAAGGAAGCGTCCTCCGCCATTCCTAACCTCCTCCCTCTACCGCACGCCTGACATGGGAGTACGTGTCATGTCACACCTTTCTGGTGCCATTACTGTCCCAATCAGGGGATTATAATAAAAAATGCTGGCCACAGGGTCAATTCACTTGGTACATTACATCAACCCCAAACCACCCGGGGCGCACTGTTACAGATAAAAAGGTAAAGCTGAGGCTATATCCCAGGTCTCCCTGGGTAACTGCTTAGAGAGGCTGCTAACCCCATTTCCTAAAATTCACCCCAACACTGAATTAACACCTTAGTGCTTCGTATTCTCTTGGTGAACTTTACTAAAGCAAAACACACACACAATAAAAGGAACACATTTTAATAGTGTGGGTTGATCATGTTCAAAACATGTGCGCGCACACGCACGCACACACATACCCTCCCCCACACGCACCCCCTACACACACATGCACACACCTTGTTGAGCGCCACCCCCATCCGCTCCCAAGCCAGTTCCCTTGTGCTGGGTGCAGTCATCTCACTCTACAACCCCGGCCTCAGGCGCCACTGGCCGGACTTCATCAGGATCGGTTAGTTCTGCTGCTGCGAGGGTCATGTGAATGGAATAATACAGTATGTGCTTTTGTCTAGCTTCTTTATTCATTGCAAGGCTTTTGACATTGATCTGTGTTTTAAAAATCCATTCTTTTTCACTGCTGAGCTGTATTCCACGGACTATAATAAACGTAGTGATCCACTCCTGTCGGTGAACACGGATTCCAGCTTCCGGGTCCTGTTAAAGCCTAACTCCCTAAGCTCACCAGGAGCAGGGTGTCGTCGGTCAAAATCAGACAGACCGGCCAGTGAGGAAGGGGCTGGTAGGAGCTGTGGGAGGTCACTGGACCAGAGAGGAGGGATTCTGAAGGCTTCCAGGGGAGGCTCAAAGGGGAGAGATCGGTTGCGAGTCCGATGCCTTTTCTGGGGCTGGTTAGGAGAACCGGGAATGACACTGGTGACAAGGGCCATTTAGCAACTGCGCACCCTGCTCAGTAAAGGATGGGTACAGGGGCTGGGGGCGACACTGGGGAGGCAGTGGTAGCCTAGAGTTCACTGCAGCTCCACGGCCTTGGGAGAACAACGTCCCCTCTAAGGCTCTGCAGCTGGCTGGCTGGGCCTGTCCTCCCAGCCTGACAGATGGCAGGACTGCTTTTTTTTCTTTTCTTTTTTTCTTATTCTGAGCCGACTGTCACTCTTCCAGTCCTAGGTGGGTTTGCACTCTTTCACTGCTACGAATAAACGTGAATGGGTTTACAGTGGTGCACAATGGTGAAGAACACTGCTCGAACGCTCATGTGGCTGCTGGTATGCCTTCCTTTTCTCAGCCATTGCTGGATCATCTATGGTATGAATATCTTTAACTCTAAACGGAACCGTTTCTCCAATTTGGCCAACAAGATCTATCGCTTCTTGATAATTCTTCAATTTGGTGGTATTTCTCTCCTTCATCCGTTACTACTTGTACTGTTTTCGAAGGATCAACAGATGCATTTGATGGCATTGCTGATTTCCTAAGCAAATCTGTCTCCTTTTCAGATTGATCCGTTGCCCTGGAGACCACATGAATTGGACAGTGAAAGAGGTTTTGCAAATTATTTCATCCTGTGAGTCTTAAACAAGACGAGCTTTGTTCTTCATTTCTTCAAACTACCAATAAATCCTTTATTACATAAACTCGCAGTGGGACATGAAAGCAATGCTTTGTACACCAGTTATCTACTGGTAATACAGCATACTTACCCCAACCTTCATCTTCTCTGCTAAAGATGGCCCTTTCCCATGTACCAAACATACCCCATAATGAACAGTTATTTTAAGTGGCTGCTCAGGACATCCAAGGCCCCACTGGGTTTGAGATCTCAGCATCCTCCATCCACAAGAGAACAAGGTTTTACCAACAATGGTTTCTGAGTGTCGCCGAGGAGTGGCCCACCTACTTTCTGACCCCAACCATGACACCACAGGGAAGATGAACTCTTCACCCATGACACTTGATGGATAGAAAGACAGAAAACCACACAGGGACAGAGATAAAGTTTTATCCCCTAATGTCTCTTTGGTCCGGGACTCCAGGATCCCTGGCCATTTTCCTCAGAACATTGGCATCCGCGATCATTGGCAGAGCTAGTTCTTCTCAGGTAAGGGCACATGACCATCATCAACTTGTCGGTGGCCAGTGTCCCACCAACTTAGCGACACTGTGCTCCACATAGGTTTTGCATCATTATCCCTCCATGCTAGTGGCCTATCTCAGTCTATATGAAACACACACTAAGTCCCCGTAAGGAACAGGATATACAGGGTGTGGCAAAGGGTTACAGTTGTGAGTATGTGGAACAGAGCTTATTCTTATATAACTTATTAATTATCGCATTATTTTCCATACGAACAACTGTAAACCTACTTTTGCCCCACCCTGTATACTTTCATCAACATGTCATCCATCCAAAAAAGCTCATTTTGCTTGCTTCAAAACACCACAATTTCAGGCAAAATCCATGCAAAGATGCTAAAAATCACTGGCCAAAATTTGAGGAGAAAAGAGATATGTGTATACTCTAAAAAGTGGCTCCCCAAGATTTTTTTTTTAATTACAGAAGGAAAAATCGTAAGCTTTCAGAGGAGAAATCCATCAGCTAAAACTTAAACCGAGTGATCATGATTGTCAATGAGACATGACATCACATGCCCTTGCACGACCGAAGGAAACTCAGGAGACATACACGCCTGTGGATCTTAGACTTGGCCCTAGCACAAAGGGACTTTAGTAGAAAACTGTGAGATTCAAATTAGGCCTGTAGTTTAGTTAATGGTATTGTCCCAACATTAATTTCTTGGTTTTGATAACTACTATGATTTTGTGAAATGTCAGTATTAGAAGAAATTAGATGATGGATATACTTTTAGGAACTCCTTAGTATTTTTGAAACTTTCTATAAAACTAAAGTGATTTCAGAATAAAGAATGAAAAGAAAAAGTCCTGCCCTCTACTCATGGCTTCCACATCCCAGCGTTGACTGAGCCACCACACGTCCAGGAAACTGTTTACTGTGAATGCTCTCCTCTTCACAACCCAGCCTGCTTATCCCAGAGGTCTCGGTAACAGGCCCTTTTGGAGTTGTGGGTAAGGCTCTGGTGTGGCCACAGCACTGGTTCACGCTGTGGGTTCTCCATTCATTCCCCTTTCAGCTTCATGACTGAGCTGCATCCACACGCAAGGCTGGTGCATCAGACGGAGCAGGGCGGGCCCTGCCAACACAGCACAGCGCCCCTCACCCCCAGGCAGCCGACAGTCATCCCGGCTCAGGTCCACCCAGCGCATGGAGCTTCATGAGGCAGCTCTGGTTATGCTGCAAACAGCATGAGGGCATCTCCAGGTTTCCCACAAACGTGTCAACGTTTACGCAGAGCCTCTCACAGGGAACCAAGCAAGAACCCCACTGGATTACCACTGGTCTGGTCCCTCAAGAGCACTTCACTTTGTCTTTCCTCCACAGGTTGTCTCAGCAGAACTTCAGGAAAAGATAACAGACAAACATCTGTCCAACTCTCACTCTCAAAGGAAATTGTAGTGGTTTCTCCCACAGCATGACTCATCTGACAACACGGAGGGAGCGCTGCAAGGAGCTGTCCTCTGATTCAGAGACACACTCACGGGATCGGAGCACTAGTCATTAATTAGCGCGCACTTCCTGCTTCTCCCTCTCACCCTGCATTTAACCCCGGCTCCCTCCCTGGTTTGCATTCAGGGTCTACTTGGCCCTGGTGACTCCCCACACAGCTAAGGAGAGAGGTTACTGAGTCAGTGCCTCCCGCTGATCCATTCCGTGGAATTCAATGTCCAGCTTGTGACGTTTAATGAAACAGTGTCATTCCTCCTTCCCCGCAGCCATGGCTGCTGCCCTCAGTGTGCTTGACCATACTATTGTCCAAGCTGGGCTCCTTCTGGGATACGTGCAGCCTGTGCTATAAGGATACTTTCCATGGAAACCTACAAATTCAACCCAGGACCTGGTCCTACAGAATCAATCTCAATCTCTCTCTCTCTCTCTCTCTCTCTCTCTCTCTCTCTCTCTCTCTCTCTCTCACACACACACACACACACACACACTGAGCTTGTCCACACCTCTTCTGGGAATACATGCCAATCACATCCCTTCCAATGTACCTGCCCCATCAAACAGGGGCTTCACAACAAAAAATTCTGATAGTCTGATTAACTGGTATACTCTGCTTGGGACACCCCGAACCAGTTAAAATTCCAGATATATCTTAACTCAATGCTTTCTGGAGAGGAGGGCTAAAAGAAGATACACAGTCAGGGTTATAATCCCGGGTATGCCTGGGTCTGAGACATGAGTTCAGATTTCTTCAACTTTTACTTGCTTTCACATTTTTAAAAAAATATATTTTATTGATTTTTTTACAGAGAGAAAGGGAGAGGGATAGAGAGCTAGAAACATCGATGAGAGAGAAACATCGATCTGCTGCCTCCCGCACATCCCCCACTGGGGATGTGCCCGCAACCAAGGCACAAGCCCTTGACCTGAATCGAACCTGGGACCCTTCAGTCCCCAGGCCGACGCTCCATCCACTGAGCCAAAACAGTCAGGGCTTGCTTTCACATTTATAAAAGAGAAAGGTAACTCCATGTTTCTGAATGTAGACACGGAAAGCTAGAATTTCCAACGCTGCCAGAGTCCTGGCTCCTCATTCAGGTTCACTTGCTTTCATACCAGAGGAAATATTTCGAATGGGTGCCATTTAGAACAAAGTGCCTTTACCACCCTCCAACCCCCACCCCCCGTGTGCCCACTCAATGATGCTGCCAGCAGACAGCCCCTATGTTGCCACCAAGTGTAAGGAAACCTGCGCTCTTGTTCCTGCTCTGAGAAGAGTAATGTTCAAAAGGAGTCTGGAACCCCAAACGCTTAACCCCTTACTAGTTCTCTAAAACAAAGGGAATTTGGTTTCTCCTGGGAAGGGTTAAGGGTGCTGGCGCATGATCACATAATCTAGAGAAGGATGGTAAACTTTGCAGTCTGGAACAGCTTGCAAAAAGTTTACACTTATCTCCTTCTTCACTATCTGAGAGAGCGAGGCAAGACATCCAACGGACCGTGTGGCTAATCCCTTCCTTTTGAGGATGAAAAAACGGAGAGGCTCAAGGAGTTAAATGGCTCTGGTGTCTAATGGTCGAATCCCAAGTCAATATTCCTTCTACCATACTCCATCTCCGCCCTTCTAAATACAGCGGGGCCTTGACTTACGAGTGTCCCGACTAACGAGTTTTTTGAGATACCCGCTGTCTCTCCGCCGATTTTTTGCATTGAGTTGAAAGAGTAATTTGAGTTAACGAACTCCTTAACGAGCTCCTTAACGAGCTCGGTCTCCGAACGAATTAAACTCGTAAGTCAAGGCCCCACTGTACTCCAATTTGTCATCAGAGAAACCTCATTTATTTGCTGGGTAATGTAGTCTGAGAACGTTTACAGTACACATAACAATTTTGAACTGAATGAGATGAAATAGAGATTTAATGACAAGTACATCTCGTCATGTTTCACAAAGGTAGGCTAGAGCCCAGGAATGAAGATGCTCTTTAATTCTCAGGATAAATCTGAACCAAAAACCAAAACACAAAAACCAAAACAAACCTGGATCCCCTAACTCCTGGCTCAGGGTTCTTTTCCTACATCACAGAACCTCTTCACTTACTTTCAAACCCTTTTATGAATTTCACCAAGGAACTAGTCACTTATTTTTTCTATCCAAAAGAGAAGGCTAGTTTTATGTTTTATGTTATTTGAGGACAGAGTTACTTCAGATGTTTCAAATTATTACTCTAAAAAACTAAGCTTTGTCTCACATAAATGCTACTCTCCTACCGTGACAACGCACCCTGTTAATAAGTAACATTAATAAAAATAACTTACCAAGAACTTTCAGCTGAATCTTCTTATTTCCAACGCCAGGGGCTTTTTTCACTTTGCACTGATATGTGCCAATATCTGACAGCTGTAAATTTGTTACATTTATTGACGCATCCCCGGATTTGAGGTCACTACTGGTAAAATGTACTCGTCCTTTTAGATCTGGATAGTAGTCATCGTAAATTTTGTCTCCAGAATACAAAATAATCTAAAAGAAAACCAAAGTAAGACAGGAACACAACAATGAAGCAAAAGCTGTGTCACTGAAGGAGCTCTCGGTACACCATGCCACTGCAGGACCCCAAAACAGTAAGAACACATAGGCGAGGAAACCGCAGCTACGCACAGCACAGGTTAAGGAAATGGAGAGGGATCAATATGATCCTTGAGCGCGGTCACACACTCTCACTGGAAATGTGGACACGAAGACCGAACATGATTAACATGGCCCTGGATTAGAAGTTAGTGAAACTGGACAAGAACACAGAATTGTGAATTTCTATAACTATTTCTCAGAGGCTGCAGTAGGTATGCCAATCAAGTGTCTAAAAGCAAGCACACACCATCACCATCCCCAAAAGAGGGCTTATGATCATTTACCTGTGAAATCTAACAAAAAACACACACAAAAAAGACATTTTTGTCTTAATACTAAGCTAGAGGGTTAATATTTAATAATTGAGGGTTCTAGACTCTAATAGGTTAAAGTCATAAAGTAAACCTCTTAAGATGTGTGCCCAGGGTAACAGGATCTTTTAAATCTTCTGTTAGAAGAGCAAAGGCCCTTTCCTAATTCCACTGTGTTTTCTGAGTTTAATGGAAATACCTGATGGCTAAACTCAGTGGGAAAATAAAATTCTGTGTTAAACCTGGCTTGGAAGAGAATGATAATAGTCATCTCTAAGTATAACTAAATTTAATTCAACACACTTTATAATTTTTCACATGTGCTAAGAAATCCTTCATTCGGGTCATCTGAGACCCAAGGGCCAAAGAGCGGTGGTGCCAAACTCAAATAATAACCAGAAACATGACTATGGTCTATAGTCTGCAAATAATTTTTTATCTGAGATGTTAATTATGGAAAAGAGTACAATCAAAAGAAATGTCCTCTGTAGGAATTTATTGAGGGCAGGGACTTGGGGTCCTTTCTGTATTGTCACCTTCCTACCATGTTGACCCCCGTCCTCACTCACTCAAGATCTCTTATTTATATATTCAGTGTCTGCTTCGAGGAAGCCCTCAATCACAGTAGACAGCTGAAGGTGCACAGCCGACTTACTCTGTAAACACGGCCATTACTCTATTTGCTCAATCTTCTCGCCACACCCATGTGTCAACAGCAGTACTAACTCCTCCAAGGAGGCTGCCCTATGTGCCTTTGTATTTAACCATGGGCTCCCCAGAAAGTTCAATCTACAGTATTTTCAATCCCCCATTTTGCTACTCACACACTTTAGGAGTCTTTTGATGAGGGCCTGAGAAATAAGATGTGTCCCCACTGGTAGCGACTTTGTAAACTATCACAGTCTTTTCCCACGGAGACAAGGTTATGAACGGCAGTTAGGAAACGGGGAACTAACAAACACTTACTAGGCAATTTTGGTTTCTCTTCACAATCCTGCAGGATGGTGGTCTTACCCACAGTTATCCTTTAGCTACAGGGAAGCTGTGACTCTCCCAGATCAGCTTTCACACAGCTAAGATGCAAACCAGATCCCTTTGAGCTGGCACAGTATTTTATTAACATTTCCATATGGCTGGTACCCATGTCACACTTGAGGAAACAGAGGCTTCTGGAACATGGGAGGCAGTACAGGACGGTGCAAAGGATACTAAGGTGCAAATGGGGGCAAGTCAGAGAGACCTGGCTTCAAACCCCAGCGGCAATGTTGCCAGCTGTGTGACCCTGAGAGGGTTCATTCAAATCTCCGGGCCTCTGTTTTCTCCTCCTCGTGTGTACACAATAATTCTCATTTTAGAGTGTTGTTTTAAGGCTGAAATACATATAATTAAAGCATATGAAATACCACAGAGCACAGAGTAAGTACACAGTCCATGGTATGCTGTCTACTGCCTGAAGAGATTATATAAGGAGTAAGGATGGAAATTTCTCCAGCCCAGTGCCCCACCACACTGCCTGCTAATATAAATAAGCTAGAGGCCCGGTGCACCAATTCGTGCACCAGTGGGGTCCCTCTGCCTGGCCTGCGGGATTGGGCTGAAACCAGCTCTCCAACATCCCCCAAAGGGTCCCGGATTGCGAGAGGGTACAAGCCAGGCTGAGGGACCCCACCCGTGCCGGGGGGAGGGACCACAGGAGGGCTCCAGGGCATGTCCGGCCCATCTTGCTCAGTCCCGATCAGCCGGACCCCAGCAGCAAGCTAACCTACTGGTTGGAGCATCTTCCCCCTGGTGGTCAGTGCACGTCATAGCGACTGGTCGTCCAATCGACTGTCTGCCCCCTGGTGGTCAGTGCACATCATACTGAGTGGTTGAGCGGCCTTAGCATATCATTAACATATTACACTTGGATTGGTTGAACAGCCGACTGGTCAACAGGACACTTAGCATATTAGGCTTTTATTACACAGGATTAAAAGGGCACAGCTAATATAGAATGTAGCTAAGTTCTATGAAAGCATCCTCTTCTGCACCCATCTCTCCCTAACCCTTCTAGCTTTCTTTGGCCCCAATTGTACTGCGTTACACTCCAGGGCTCATTTTTGTAACCCAAAAGTAGACGCTTAAACCCTGGTTTCCTACTATCTCACAAGTCCTGCGGGAAGCAAGGCTGTGCCTCCCACCCCTCCCAGGAATAGACACACAAGACTATGGACACACACCGGGCTTCTTGGTCTCTAGAAGCACCTTGTTATGGCTTCACTTATGCGTCTTAAGCCAAAAGCATTTAAGTAAGACCGCACTCTCCATCCATTCATCTTAACCAGGAGGGCGGAGTCCTGGGCTGGAAAGGGAGATGGGCACTGCGCTGCCAGGGCCGCGATGGTACGCAGGGCCTCAGGTAGAAAGAAGCCTGTGTTCAACGGTGCTGGCCCTCCATGGAAAAGGGGTGGGGGGTGGGATGAGAAGAGGAAGGCAAGGAGGAAGGAAACAGGGCATCTGGGCTGAGCAGACAGAATGAGTCCATTTCAATTTACTTTGCTGAGGGAGACAGAAGGAATTTCCAGCAGCAGAACCAGGACAGAGGTGTGTCCTTGGAGGGAGTGGCCCTAGTCATTCTCAACTTGGGAAAGTACCTTAATTATTTCCTTCACAAATACATCACGGGCAAACTGCCTGGATTTGCTAAAAATAGTAATTACCATACTGCCCTGATTCAGCCATTAACTGGCTGAATAACCCACCCCTTCTTTTACATGGATCATAAGTAAAAATAAAATTTCTAAATATGTACATAGCTGACCCTCAAACAATGCAGGGTTTAGGACTACCAGCACCCACCCCACACCGAGTAGAAAATTTGCATATAATTTTTTTTATCCTCACTTGTGGATATGTTTTAATTTATTTTAGAGAGAGAGGAAGGGGGAGAGAGAAACATCAATCGGTTGCCTCACTTTACACAACCCAACCAGGAATTGAACCTGCAACCTTTTGGTGTACGGGACAATGATCCAAACAAATGAGCCGCCCAGCCAGAGCTGCATATATAACTTCTGAATGCCCAGAAAGTTAACTGCTAACAGTCTTCCACTGACTGAAAGCCTTCCCAATAACACAGTCAGTCAATCAGGACATATTGTATATGTTATATGCATTCAATACTGTATTTTTACCAAAAAAAAGTAAACTAGAGAAAAGAAAATGTTATTAAGAAATTCATAAAGAAGAGAAAATACATTTAGAGCATTTATTAAAATAATCTATGTATAATGGAACTGCACTGTTCAAACTTGTGTTGCTCAAGGGTTAAATGTATTACCATATTCCTCCAAATATGTGGACTTATTTCCTTCTCCCTGGTCTAATGCAATTTATTAACATTGACTTTATTTTTTATTAAACGTGTCAGATGAAGCTAATATGCAATATTCTAAATGAAGTGAAATATTTTGGTACTATAAAAAGGCAAAGAGTGATTACTATACATATATATTTATTTAGAGATGAGATTACTGGGCAATTTTCCTCCTCTGTGCTACTTTTGGCTTTCCATTAGGCTCTTTTCCTATCTAATAATAGAGAAACATGGTAATTAACTGTAACTTTGCTACCCTTCCCATTGGCTGATCAGTGAGATATGCAAATTAACTGCCAACCAAGATGGCGGCCGGCAGCCAGGCAGCTGAAACAAACATGAGGCTTGCTTGCTCCAGTGACGGAAGCCAAGGTTCCCTGCCTGCCGCAGCCCAGCTCTGAGCTCCAATGTTACAGATGCAACAATGTTACAATTATAGAAGCTAAACAAACCCAGAAACCTGCTTTCAGCCGCCAGTGGGCTCAGCGCTTAGAGCGTCAGTGATGGCAACAGAGTTTCAATTATAGAAGCTAAACAAACCCAGATATCTGCTTTCAGCCAGCCACAGCCTCAGAGCTGGCTCTCAGCTCCAGTGACAGCTATAGAAGGTAAATAAATCCCAGAATTTAAAAAAAAAAAAAAGGAAAAAAAAGAGGCTGGGAGCTTCAGTTACCCGCCAGCCTGAAAACGGCCCTCAGCCCCTCACCCAGTCTGGCCCGGCACCCCAGTGGGGACCCCCACCCTGAAGGGGGTGTGGCCAGCCTGAAAACAGCCATCAGCCCCTCACCCAGGCTGGCCAGGCACCCAAGCGGGACCCCCACCCTGATCCGGGACACCCTGATCCGGGACACCCTTCAGGGCAAACCAGCTACCCCCCCCACCCGTGCACCAGGCTTCTATCCTATATAGTAAAAGGGTAATATGCAAACTGACCCTAACAGCAGAAAGACTGGGAATGCCTGGTCACTATGACACACACTGACCACCAGGGGCAGACGCTCAATGCAGGAGCTGCCCCCTGGTGGTCAATGCGCTCCCACATGGGGGAGCTCTGCTCAGCCACAAGCCAGGCTGACGGCTGCCAGTACAGCAGTGGTGGTGGGAGCCCCTCCTGCCTCCTCAGCAGCGCTAAGGATGTCTGACTGCAGCTTAGGTCTGCTCCCCGCTGGCAAGTGGGCATCCCCCGAGGGCTGCCAGGCTGCCAGAGGGATGTCTGATTGCCATCATAGGCCCAATCCCCCAGGGAGCAGGCCTACGCCAGCAGGTGGTCATCCCCCGAGGTGTCCCAGACTGCAAGAGGGCACAGGCTGGGCTGAGGGACACTCCCTCCCCGCTGAGTGCACAAATTTTTGTGCACCGGGCCTCTAGTTATTTTATAATTAAAGATTTTTCTATAACAATATTTTGATAGTTGTGGGCTCAATCCCTGGCCTGGGTCAGGGCACCTGTGGGAGGTACCAATCGATGTATCTCTTACATGGATGTTTCTCTCTCTCTTTCTCTCCCTCTCTCTCTCTCTCTCTCTCTCTCTCTCTCTCTCTCTCTAAAAACCAATGGAAAAATATCCTCCAGAGAGGATTAAAAAAAATAATAAATATGGAGAACAGACTCTGCAATAATATGTAACTGTTATACCCTGCTACACTTAATGACCCTTATACTGGTATCAGAACTCTTGTGTTAAAAGCTAGAAACTCAATCCTATCGACTTTTCACCAAGTCTAACTTGCTTGCCGACCCTTAACACACACTATGCACATTTCTGCCGTGCCATCATGTCTGCTCCACTACTTCCTGACGCATCCACACTTTACAATCCTGATTTTCAGGAGTTCCCGTGCCCCTAGCCTATGTGGGCAGCGCAGTGACGGGCACCGAAGACAAGTTCCACAGACAGCTGCTGAGCGAGCGAGCAAGCACTCGGCCAACTTACCACTTGATCCACCTTCTGATTATCGGCTGGAGACAGCAGCCACTCGATGTCCAGGGGTCCCTGGTCTTCCGGACCTTGAGTAAATTTGCAGGGCAAATAGGCAGTTTCCCCTTTGGCCTTTTCAATCATGTGGTCAGGACTGGTGATAGTCAAACTTCTGGTGACATCTGGAGAAGGAAACACACAAACTAAGCATCTGAACCCTCGGCCCACCCAGCCGTTCAGAAGGGACACAGGATGCGGTGGAAACAAGATGCGATTTGGGACCAGAGTAAGAGAGTTCAAACTCAACGGTGCCCGGTTTTCAGTTTGTGCCTTTGTAAAATTAGAATGACAACATAATATCTTATTCAATATAATTTCCTTTAAGAGCTCGGTGAACTTCCCAACTGTATAGAGCAGCGGTTCTCAACCTGTGGGTCGCGACCCCTTTGGCGGTCAAATGACCCTTTCACAGGGGTCGCCTAAGACCATCCTGCATATCAGATATTTACATTACGATTCATAACAGTAGCAACATTACTTCATAACATTAAGTAGCAACGAAAATAATTTTATGGTTGGGTCACTGTATTTAAAGGGCCAGAAGGTTGAGAACCGCTGGGATAGAGGGTGTTTATATCCAAGCAGGTGTTTAAAACTGAACTGAGCTGGAGTCTCTGAAAGGCCAGTTGTGTCGTGCCAATTCAAGGCGACATTAGCCATGCTCGCCTTGGTGCCACCAACACAATGGGATTCCTTATCGCTGGGACGCATGCTGATGAATTCTGACACCTTTTTTTTTTCTTTTTTAATTCTAAGGTGTTCTTTTTTGTTTTGATTCCATAACTTTTATTGAATGCTTGAAAATATTTCTAAGTTAAGTGGGTAGATCCCAAGAGTTCTCATCATAAGGAAAGTAACCTATTTTTCCTTTTTCTTTCTTCTTTTGTGTATCTCTATGAGCCGATGGATCTTAACTAAATTTATTGTGGTTATTATTTCACACTCTGTGTAAGTCAAATCATGCTGTACATCTTAAACTTATGCAGTGCTGTATGTCAATTATATCGCACAAAACTGGAAAAGAAGCCACCAAAACAAGATGAGCCCCAAACAAATGTCCAAGAGGTCCTGCTGACTGAGTTTGTCATAAGAGATGGCTTAACCCCACTGAAACACTGTAAGTACTAAAAAAGGAGTATCCTTCTTCTTGAGTTGGGGTTGTGAACACAATACAATACACAACTGATGTATTATAGAATTGTATCCCTGAAATCTGTAATTTTATTAGCCACTGTCACCCCAATAAATTCAATAAAAATAAAGGTAAAGTCTCCTCCTTGCTGCGAATGATTTACAACAAAACTATCTTTTACACACATAAAAGGTAGAAATAACCACTGAGCAAAATGGCACCATTTCTTAATCTATATAAGAGTAAAAATACCAAGTTCAATCAATTCACATCTTGGTTTTTTTTAAAAAAAAGCAATTTTGTTCATATTAATTCACACATGAAAATAGGTCTGTTCACTACTCATGTCTTATGAAAGATCAAAGTTTGAACAACCTAACAATTCGGTATAAAATGCAGATGTAGTCTGTAAATGAACTATCACACAATACTTAATTTTTTATTATTTACAATGTAAATGATTGCATAGCACTAGTTTGTCAATCTATGTTTCCCTTGTGAGGACATTTGAAACATCTAATCCAGGGGTCCTCAAACTTTTTAAACAGGGGGCCAGTTCACTGTCCCTCAGACCGTTGGAGGGCCGGACTATAGTTTAAAAAAAAACTATGAACAAATACCTATGCACACTGCACATATCTTATTTTGAAGTAAAAAAACAAAACGGGAACAAATACAATATTTGTATTTGCATGTGGCCCGCGGGCCGTAGTTTGAGGCCCCCTGATCTAATGTATGCAGAACCAAAGTTTCAACTGAACAGCAGATTTCAGCAGCTCTCCCATTTAGGACTCTCCATCACCCACACTAACTTCCGTGGCTGGATTATGACCTGGAAGAGGCCCGAAGCACTAAAATCATGCACTGTCCATGGGTCCTGGCTTCCTCCCCATCTCTTCCCTTGCTCCTTCCATAAAAATAAACACATGAGAGAAAAATTAGAGTAAATCCAAATCCTAATCCTCTATAATGAGGACAAACCAAAAATGAGGACTTAGCCATCCCATGGTCCTTTCCATTAGCACATTGGCTATCACTTGTAATAAGATGCTAATAAAGTTGAAGAAGCCAAAAGATTGAGAATGAAAGAAAAGCCAGGTTACATTCAAGACCATTTATATTCAGGAGCCATCCTAAGCGTTTTATCACATTTAAGTGCACTCCTTAAATAGCAGATTAAAACCGGACACAGACTCTCTACTCCCGTAAGTCAGAGGCTGGCCTAATACTGACCAGTAGAAAACGGCATGAGTGCAGCTATTCTGAGGTGAGGCCCCAAAAGGCCTTGCTGCTCCCACTCTTGCCCTCTCAAATCCCTGCCATCTGCCACCGAATGAACAAATCACATAGAAGAGAACTGAGGTGGCTGACCAATAGCTGCAACTGCCCATAACGCAGGCCCCCTAGAACACTGAGCCGCAGTCCAGACCAGCTGTAGGCAGTTGCAGTGAGCCCAGAACTTCCCCTCTGAGCCTAGCCTAAACTGTCAACCCATAGGATCAGGAACTAACACATATTTTTGTTTTCAAGTCTCTAGAATTTGGGCAAAGATTGATGACAATACACCATCCAAATCCATTACTTCAGCCCAAATAGACTGCTTAATATTGCCTCCAAGAAATCCATACCACTCCAATCTGCATTTCATATCTAACATTTCTATTTAAAATTATGTGATTTGATGTTTATGTGTATGACCTCAAATGTCTCTCCTGAATTAATATTCAATCCCCAAATACACACTTTCTATCATCTATATGTATAAAAGCCTAAGCGACTGTCACGACCGAACAACTGGAATGACCGGTCGACCAGTCGCTATGATGTGCACTGACTGCCAGGGGGCAGACGCTCAATGCAGGAGCTGCCCCCTGGTGCTCAGTGTGCTCCCACAGGGGGAGTGCCGCTCAGCCAGAAGCCAGGCTGACGGCTGGTGAGCGTGGCTGCAGCAGCGGGAGCCTCTTCTCCCGACTCCAAGTCAGTGGGCGCAGTGGGCCGGGATGAGTGCAGGCGGAGAGGCACGGGCTCGGGCTCTTCCCTGGCTGCACTGCTACATCCCCCAAGGGGTCCCGGACTGAGAGGGTGCAGGCCAGGTTGAGCCCGCCCCCCAACCCCCAGCACGAGTCTGTGCACCAGGCCTCTAGTTTCTAATAAACTGTGTTCCATACCTACCTCATTCACCAAAGTAGCACTCCTCTACCTCTTAGCCTAGAATGATTTTTTTCTGTTTCTCTACAAGTGCTCACAGTACTTTACTTTCTGCTATCTGTATCACCCTTCTGGCCTTCGCATATGGTATCCTGGAGATTTTTCCCTGGTAAACTTTACTGTGAAGTTGACTCACATGGTTTTGTCACATCTTCTAGATGAGTTTATGTGCTGCCCATACTCCCTAGTGCTTTTAACTGATTCTTTATAATGTTGATTTATCATTAAATCATTAGTTCCATTACAGCTGGGAGAAATTATGGACACCTCTATGTCCCATTGTAGTTCCTTGTACATTAGAAGAAAAAAATCGATGACTAAATTATAAAGTTGATCAATTTTAGAAATGCTGAAAGATTAATGAATCTGCCAGTTGAATCCTGCTACTTGAAGATCTCCTTTCTATAGCCATGACAATTTGTTGCCTGTATTTATCTTGGTAGTAATACTTTATGCATTGAGTAAGATAAAAACAATCTGAGTACAGTCCAGAATGAAACTTCCATTCCAAAATGAATCAAGACACAGCACTAAAATATAGAGGTAAGACTATGAGAATGAAAATTTGCTAAAAACAACAACAATTAAAACTTCCTGATTACTCTATGCTTTTAGGGTTTTTATTTTATTAAATTAAATTTAAAAGTTAAATGACATCAGCCATATAAATTTTTCTAAATTCAAATTAGAATAAAATACAACTTTGTTTTTGTAATAGTACCTTTTATTCTTATTTAATACATAAAAAACACTTTTATCTTTAAAGAGTTAAAAACAGTTAATGAGAGGAAGCACTGGGGGAAGCGTGAAGTCCCCATCTGTGGAGCACGTGTGTGTGGATGCTTTCCCGTCTGAAATGCCCACTTTCTCCCACTGAGAGCACCTCCGCCACTTATCACAGAACCGCCACCTTTCACCTCCTCTCAAAGGCTATCCCCGTCCCCACAGGCAGAGTTAACCACTTCCTCCGAGATTACGCGATTACACAACACTCTCATAGGCAGTTGTTTACACGCCCTGCCCTTAAGCAAATAGGTTCATTCCCCGAACAGATTCTCTTTGGAGGGTATATCCCCAAGCCTTATTTTAGTTAGTAAACCCTCTGGACCTGTGGTTTCACAAAACTACAAAACTGAGAATGGGGGGCGGAGCTCAGAGTAGAGGGAAGGTGAAGGAGTGATGAGGGTAGAGAGGAGAGGCCTGCCAGACCTTGTGGGGAAAGCAGGAAGGCCATGGGAAGACCCGTATCCAGGGAAGCAAAGGGGTGGAGCAATGAAGCCGACAGGAGACAGAGCTGGGAGGGAGCTGAGCAAGCCTGGCACGTGCTGATGGGAGCAGTCCATTGCTTATTACTTTACTACCCATATTACAATAGATGTTAGCAAATCTGGTTTAAAAAAAACTAACATGATCAGCCCTAGCTAGTTTGGCTCAGTGGATAGAGCAGTGGCCCGCAAACTGAAGGGTCTCGGGTTCGATTCTGGTCAAGAGCACGCTCTCTCATATCGATGTCTCTCTCTGTCTTTGCCCCTTTGTACCACTCTAAAAATCAATGGAAAAAATATCCTCAGGTAAGGAATAACTAAAAATAAATTAAAAAACTAACATGATTTCAACTTTATATGCAACTTTATGTACAATTATATACAATTATGAGGGAAATACAACATTAAGAAAAACTTTCAGTTGTGACTATTCTAAAATCACAACTATGGATGAAGAAAAGCTGCCTGGCTATCTCTGAGCTATCTCTGCAACATCAAGCAGAAAATGATTACCACT